CTAAAGCAACGATGTTTCAAAGAGCTACAAGATCAAGGATTTTCAGAATCAAATATAGGTATTAATATTAATTTTAATATACTAAACTTGAGTTATGTATGTATACAGGGTGCGTCTCGAAAGTGGCTCACCCCTATAACTTTTTTATTTTTTCAGATAAAAAACGACACGTTAGTATATGACAAATTAGGATTGACTGACGTATTAAATTGTTTTTGGTCACTTCCTGTTTCTCCGGAAACGACTATAACTTTTGATTTTTAAATGACACCCTCAGTATATTTCTATTTTATTTGATAGAAAATAACACTCTGAGTAAAATGACATATCACATGTCAACTTTTTACATTTTTTGCTTAAAAAAATAGAGTTCCATGGCTATGTTAAAAACACTAATTTTTAATGAAATAGGAAAAATAGATTTGATAATCTAATATTTTTCGTGTTTAGTCCTGGCTGGTTAAAAGCTCAAATCGTATTTTTAATCATATATCAATTTTTTCAAATATTTTTTTTATATTTTTTCAATAATTTGGTACCAAACCCATTTCGAGTCAAATTGTCGTTATGAACCGCATGTTACAATTACCATGATACAAATAAACCATATGCGAAAATGTTAAAAGTTCACATATGATATGTCATTCTAGTCAGAGTGTCATTTTCTATCGAATAAAGTAGAAATATACGGATGGTGCTATTTAAAAATCAAAAGTTGTAGTCACTTCCGGTGGGGCAGGAAGTGACTAAAAACAATTGCATACGTCAATTAATCCTGATTTATGTCATATAACACACCAAATGTCGTTTTTTTTATCTGAAAAAATAAAAAAATATAGGAGTGAGCCACTTTTGAGACGCACCCGGTATAATTGACCGAATGAGAAATAAATTAAATTTCTATTTAATTATTTTCATAATTTAGTCTTGGAACCTTATTTGCACATGCGCTACGATGGTACCGATTGCGCGCTAATGTGTGGTCCTTGGAATCCCGATGGTGCTACTACTAATCCAAAACACGGCGATTTTCTGCAAACTTTTATTAGAAGATACAAGGCTGAGTTTGGATTTGTCATCGCTCATAAGGATGTTATAGTCGACGATATTCGGGTAATAATACAAAAAAATAAAACAAAAATATAGCGCAGTATTTAATAATATCTTTGTTTTGTAGGTCAGAGGCGTTGGTAAGAGTGATATTGAGTTAGAACAACCTTTAGATGTTCAGAAAGGTGATCCAAATCCTATAACAGTGACGAAAGTTTATTTTGAATCCGGATATGAAGATACAAACGTGTATCAGTTGAAGGACCTTTTTGCCGGGCAAACATTAAAAGGTATAGAAAAGCGTCTAAAAAAAGCAGCAGTTTATTTCCAGCAGTAATTATTCCGCTTTTTGACATTTGACATTATAGACGTGTATAAAATATAGAGTAACAAAATTACATTGATTTGTTTTCTGTATGTTAGAAGCGAAATGTAAACAAATCCTTTGTTTATTTATGGTTTGATTTAACCACAGATTTAATATAGCCCTTTCTTGAGATGTAACAACGTCACGTGTAGTTTCAGAAACTTCATCAAAACAGAAATATAGTGCTAAATAAATATATCTGTTTACGCCACAAGCATTTTGAAATATTAATTAAAAAAGCGGTATTAGCTTCATTAAATGAACTTCGCTTGGTCCTTAAAGGAAAATGGGAAACATAACGCAATATGATATATGCAGCCTCAATGACAGTATGAACGGACATATACATACAGGTAGTTATAGCGCTAAGGGAGGCCATACAAAGTATTAGGGATTTTTTTTTATTTTTTTTCTGTTTGTATACTTGAGTATACAGATTGTTTTTGTAATATTGTTAGTTCTGTTATCGTTATTCAGGATTATTAAAAGCAGGACTGTATCATTACTGTTTAATATTTTTTAAAATGTAGTATAGGCTATCCAATGCAGCGTAATATGACGTTACGACAAAAATTATCAAAGCCACATTGTTATATTGAAAAATATAATTAATAAGTAATAATTGCAAATTGTTGGTGGCAAGTTCATTTCGCTCTTAAAAATTAACCAAGGCATGTATTGACGTGAGCCAAAAAATAACATGCTCAGGAGACATGGTTCTGACAAAAAATAACGTTCTAGGAAAATTTGCTTACGAAATTATTGCACAGGGTGTTTTTAAGGTAAAAAAACCATTCGATAAACGCTGTATAATAAGGCCCAATACTAAAGTTTATACAAAACTGAGGTTAAAAATTAAAGCTGATATATTTATATATAGTTTGGCAAAAAAATCATGACAATTAGGCTAAAAATAAACAGAATATGATACTTTAAATTTGACGAAAATTTTTTCCGTTGTTTTTTTTTCATTTGTCTCAGTTATTTTTGTTAAGTTAACATTTCTGTTCTTTTAGTTTCATCTTTTCTGTTATTCCTCTATTTTTTAGTACACACATTCTTGAAGTATTTTTAAGAAGAGTAAAAATATGAATTGTTCAAATTTAAATAATAGAAATTATACTCCCTATTAAATACACTTAGATGCAAAAAAACGCAACGGAGAAATTTTTTGTCAAATTTAAAGTATCATATTCTGTTTATTTTTAGCCTAATTGTCATGATTTTTTTGCCATACTATATATAAATATATCAGCTTTAATTTTTAACACATTTTTAGCCCTATTTTTATGATTTTTTTTAGCAAACTGTGTATAATTATATCAACTTTAAATTGTAAACTAAGTTTTTTTATAAACTTTAGTATTTGGCATATTATACAGGGTTATTCGAGGGGTTGTTTTATTACCTTAACTTTAAAACACATTTTTTTTTCTGCTTGTATACTTAAGTATTACAGGTGCTTTCTTTAATATCGTTAGTTCTGTTATCGTTATTAATGTTTATTAAAACCAGGACTGTATCGTTAGCCTTTAACCTGTTTTTTTATTTATTATAAAGTATTCAATGCAGCGTAATATGACATTATGATAATAGTCACCAAAACCATCTCGTCATATTAAAAAATTACATTCAAAAGTAACGATAATTGAAAAAATTGCAAATTGATCGTGATCAGTTCATTTCGTTCTTAAAAATTAACCAAAGGATGTATTGACCTGAATCAAAAAACAAAATGCTCAGGAGTCATGCTTCTGACCGTAAAATTATATTTTAAGAAAATTTAAACACGAAATTATTGCACAGGGTGTTTTAAAGTTAGGGTAAAAAAACAACTCCTCGATTAACTCTGTATAATATGGCAAATACTAAAGTTTATAAAAAACTGAGTTTACAAATTAAAGTTGATATAATTATGTACAGGTTGATAAAAAATTCATGAAAATAGAGCTAAAAGTAACAAAAATATAACACTTTAAATTTGACCAAAAATTTCTCCGTTGCGTTTTTTTTGCATCTGAGTGTAATTTGAAGTTAATCTGTTTTTTTTACTCACACCAACCGAAATTTATTTTGAAATATGCCAATTTTCATTGATTTTCAGCAAAAATATAAATTATTCATAAAAACTTTTAGAAGATTTTTAAGATTGTAGACTTTAAATTGAGTAACATTTTGTTCAGGGCCAGCTATAGTAATGGATCAACTGAGCACGATCCTAATCGAACCGGATTGCACAGCTGTCATAACAAAATATGGCGATATCAAAATCACTATCGGCACTGGAAAAGTCAAAGCTATGGGTCCGGAACTGGACTCCATCCAGTTAAGCATTTTCAGCCATAGATTTATGAGTATTGCCGAACAAATGGGAAGGTACGAGTTTTGTATATTTTTTCTATTTCGGAACACAGATTTCAGAACAGAATTATTAAGTTTTATGTAAATAATTTCTTACCATTTTATAAGAATAAAATTCTGTTGTAGAAGGCATTTCCATCAAGTGAGATTAATATGTATATCACTTGAAAGAAACTCCCTCGAATCATCGGTTTCAAGTAACCAGCCACGAACCCTACCCTTAAACACCTCATCGGACAATAGTTTATACCCATCCGGGAGTTTATTATAAAACTTCACACTCCAGTATCTAGCTCCATCTCGAGACCTTTCTAACCTATGTATAGGGATACTGAGGTGTTCCGCCCTACGAGTATCATGAGAGCCGTGCTGGGCATTTGTGAGATATTTTTCTGTATTGATTTTAACATATAATATATTTTCGAATATATAAAGATTTGGGAGAGTAAGTATATTTAATATTTTGAAAGTTTCCCTGCAATCATCCCTGTAGCCCAATCCTCCGACAACTCCCACAGCCCGCCTCTGAAGTGCAAAAACCCTGCGCCACTGAGGTTTTTCAAATATAATACCACTAGTACCACTAGCAATGCCCTCCCCCCCCAAAAAAAAATGTCTACTAATTTCAATATGATGCCAATAATACCCAAGTAATGCCATTCAAATTTTAGCGTTTCTAATTTATGTAACATATTTGTTTAACGAATTAACCTGTAACAATAGTGGTACGTGGACAGATTTCTTACCACGTAACTTAAAGGATTAAAAAAAGTCTAATTATATTTAAAGATCCCATAACAACATAACTAATATTTATATTTTATTCCGAGTTTTAATTTCAAATAATAAATATTTATAGAATAAATAAATATCCTTTATTGACTTAACATTTGTTTTTAAAAATAACTCTAAAAATTATTTTTATGGGTGGTTTTAAGAGTGAAATTTCTTTACGCGCCCTGGGAGTAAAAATTCAAGGCCGTGACACACAAATTAGTTTGTTTTGTAACTTTTCTTATAGATAAATAAAATATTTTATACGAGTAATGCAAAGTGATTCCCTCAAAAATAACATCATAAGGTGTATTACAGGCGCCAAACTTAGAGTTACATTGTAACCACAAAAGGGAGAATTTATGACCTTAATAAAACCTGCATGTTTGCAGTCCATAAATAAATTTAATACAGATTATGGCGAGCATCCACCATGGTTAGGGATAATTCAATAATCCTTTCCACAATAAAATTAGGTATTATTTATCCTTCGATACGGTGAAAAATAAAATAAACTAATTAAAAAAAAATTGAAAACTTGTATCACCTAAGACTCATTAATTTCAAAAACTGTTAGATATAGGCTAGGTACAGAACATTATTGAGTATAGTCTTAACTAAAAGTTTTCTACTTTGCTGTAGATTGTAGTCATTTCCGGTGAAACAGGAAGTGACAGAAAGTAATTGAATACGTCAATAAATCCCGATTTATGTCATATACTGACAAACTGACATACCAAATTTCGTTTTATTATCTGTAAAAAAAGTTAGGGAGACACTTTTGAAAAACACCAGATATATTAATCATTACTTGGATATAAATATACGTAATAAAACTATACAGGGTGTCCCAAAAATAAGTGCAAGTATTTTAAGGGGCGGTAGATCTCGATAAAAGAAATATATTTTCTCTTCATCGTTTTTCAAATAAGTAAAATAAAAACACTAAATCACCACAATACACCAAAACACTTCTACTTTTACACTGGACGCGCGTTTCGCTAACCATGTTAGCATCATCAGCAGATGATTATAAACTAAAGTACAATCTACAAGTTGAGCGTTTATATACTCGCTCAGTGGGCACCGACTGGGCGTGGCAAAATCTAGCCAACCGAGTCAGAGCCAACTGAGCGTAACAGTTAGATTTCCGCACTAGAGTAGTAGGAACAAAGAACTTGAAGGAATTGGACCGTTGACTCTGTTCATACTATCTTTACATTTATTAATTATGATGCTTTCATATGCATCTAATTGCCTGTAATTTGAGACTTGTTTAATTAATTTTAAATTATTAAGATCTATACAATGTTCATTATCAACAATATGTTCGGCAACGCAAGATTTATCCGGTCTACCATATCTTATCTGAGCTAAATGTTCTTTAAATCTAGTTAATATTGATCTCCTAGTTTGCCCAACATATTTCTGATTACAATCTTTACAAGAAATTTCATAAATACCCGACCTTTCCAGTGGAGGTGTTTTATCTTTTGGATTACCTAATAATTGTTGTAATTTATTATTAGCACTATACACAAGTTTATAATTGACATTCTTAAAAATTCCTTTTAGACCACGGGATAACTCTCTATCAAACGGTATCGAAAAATATTTAGACGTATCTTTCTCCACTTGAAAAGTCGAATTTTCAGAAATCATTAACCTATACCTATGTCAGATAAGATATGGTAGACCGGATAAATCTTGCGTTGCCGAACATATTGTTGATAATGAACATTGTATAGATCTTAATAATTTAAAATCAATTAACCAAGTCTCAAATTACAGGCAATTAGATGCATATGAAAGCATCAGAATTAATAAATGTAAAGATAGTATGAACAGAGTCAACGGTCCAATTCCTTCAAGTTCTTTGTTCCTACTACTCTAGTGGCGGAAATCTAACTGTTACGCTCAGTTGGCTCTGACTCGGTTGGCTAGATTTTGCCACGCCCAGTCGGTGCCCAATGAGCGAGTATATAAACGCTCAACTTGTAGATTGTACTTTAGTTTATAATCATCTGCTGATGATGCTAACATGGTTAGCGAAACGCGCGTCCAGTGTAAAAGTAAAAGTGTTTTGGTGTATTGTGGTGATTTAGTGTTTTTATTTTGCTGTGTAACACCAAAGGTTCCAACCCTCAACTGTAATCTTCAAATAAGTTCAAAATAACGGAGTTCTTTTACTTTGAAAATTTCCAAAAAAAATATTTTTTGCTAAAATTTTGAGAATATGTTGACATATTAACAAGAAATTACGTTTTTTAACTAAAAACTAAAAAAATCCAAAAATTTTTGCAAAAAATTTCGAATTTTCATTTTTTTTCGCGAAAAAAACCTCATAGGCGTATTTCTTGGGTTGAACTATACTACCAGTTAAAATATTTGCACTTATTTCTGGGACACCCTGTATAAACATTTTATACAGGGTCGCTGTTATGTATGGAAACGGTCGATTATTAGGTAAAATATAGGAGGTACCGCAAAAAGTTAAATACAAAAGTTATAGAATTTTTAAATATCTATTAGAGAGTAATACATTTAAGTTGTTAAGGGTCGGTCATAAAGGCGTGGAACTTTTTTTTCGTTTCATTTTTTTTAAATAGAACCCCCTGTATATTATTGCATATTTCAATTCTTCCTTCAATTCTAAGCAAAAATCGAAATACACTCAATGTACCTCAAACCAACCGTTGCCGATTTATTGACTTTTGAACATATGACTTAAACAATTTGATATATGTAATTATTAATTTCAATAATGTTCAGTTTCATTTAATGATGCCATTCTGCCGAAACTGTGATACTGTTGTAATGAGTTTTTAAATGCCTATTAGCTACTAGTAAATTTACCATACCATACATACCGCAATTACTCGCTGACGAGTATTTCACACGCATCAGAAGATGGTCACGCAAGGCGTTTTCTTTCATGAGCTTTTCTGTGACTGAAAAGCCCGATACGTGATGTTATCTGTCTACCGCACTCCAGACATTCAAAAATAGTAAATTTAAGTATACAGGGTCGGTCATAAAGTTCTGGCACATCAAACTTTTTTTTTAATAAAACCCCCTGTATATTATTGCAATGCAATTCTTCCTTCTATTTTAAGCAATAATCGTAATACACAATGTACATAAATTGAAGAATTGAAATGTTAAACGAATATTTTGTAATTTCCTGACTTGATATAATCTGATTTTATACATCTATAAATGTTAACTTAATAAATAATTAATGTCAAATATCATGAAGTATCACAGTTTTGGCAGAATAGCATCGTTAAATAAAACTGAACATATCGAAATTAATTAAATCAAATTGTTTAAGTGATATGTTCAAAAATCAATAACTCGGAAACGGTTAGTTTGAGGTACCTTGTGTGTATTTCGATTTTTGCTTAGAATTAAAGGAAGAATTGAAATATGCAATAATATACAGAGGGTTCTATTTAAAAAAATGAAACTTTGATGTGCCACGACTTTATGACCGAAACAGTATACTTAAATTTATTACTCGCTAATAGATATTTAAAAATCCTGTAAATTTTGTATTTAACTTTTTGCGGTACCTCCTATATTTTACCTAATAATCGACCGTTTCCATACATAAAAGCGACCCTGTATATGCTTAAACGATTTGTTAATTATAACTGACGTGGATAGGAGACATCTATTCTATTCGGTATTAATTTCCATTGCATAAAAAATAAAACCTGATTAATAAATTATTAAAAACTGTTATCCTCCAGGAATCCTTGTCATGCATTCGTCCAGTCAAAAATATCCCATTAATAAAACGTATTTAGTTCGTTCCAGTGGCAGAACCATTAAACTTTAGACCGTTGGCTGCAAGCGCATGCACAATTTTAATCAGCATCCTACATAATTAAACAATATTTCGCGATGTTGCTTTTGTGGCGCCATCTGTTTTGTCGCTTACTAATTGAATTAGGCGAGGAGCGAGGAGGAAAGCAAGTTTAGGGTTGCGAATTGGGAATTAATGCGAAATAATTGCGGAATCATTGGTATTGTTGCGGAAGAAAATGGTCGAGGCTCGTTTGCTGGGCAGCCTAAAATGGCGATTTAATCGTTTTGACAGCTGACAGAGGAACGTGATGGACAAGAAACTATTCTGATTTTCAGATAAAATCCATGAGTGTGGCATTGTTCGGTTATTTAATCTGTATACAGAGTGTCCCAATATTCCTTGGACACAGAACTACTAGTATTTTTGGAATTAAAGTAAGTTTATTGAACACTTTATTGAACACAATTTACCTCTATACAAAAGTTCCTCGTTTGTACGTTAGAGGGCACCAAATTTTAAAAAAGTAACACATTTTTTAAAATATTTTAAGAATC